TCAAGACATCACTTCAAAAAGTAAATAATATTGGCATACTTTATTATTGATGACATCGACCTTGACTAAAACCTAGTTTCTTCAGAGTAGTTATTTTTCTTTTGTAATTAATATTGTATCTTCTACTAACTTGATTTCTGGGTGAAAGGAAGTTTTAAAGAAATAATTTTTTCTCTCAGAAAATTTCTCAGAAATTTTGTGATTAGTTGCTTTAAATTATAATAGTATCTGAACATTTTTAATGATTTTAAAATCAATTTGTCAGGTCTTTATGCTGGACAAATGACTTTTTGACTAGAAAACCTTAACCTATATTTTCAGAACACTTATTTAACTTGAAGTTTGCTGCAAAAGAACTTAATAGAAATGCCAAGAAGTGTGATAAAGAAGAAAAAGCTGAAAAGGCCAAGATAAAAAAGGTAGACCACTTTTAATAATTTTACTTTTCTAATCTACAAAAGAAGTACAACTAGATATAGAAGGGTAAGTTAATTATATGACATCTCTGTAGGTAAATCATTGAGCTATGTTGTTGATAATGCCTTATTTACTGTGCTTAAACTTCATTGCTATTTATATGTGTAAACATAGCTTAAAATTTGTGTACTTTTGAGTTACTGCAAATAAAATTTGTCCTTAGCTAATTCCATTCATTTTGAGAAGCCCATTTCTGCTGATTCTAACTCCCATACATTCTAAAGTTTTATATCTAAACATTGCAGATTACTGATGTATATTGTGTTTCATTTATTAACTAGCAAGAGTCACAGGACACAGTAGGTAGTTTTCCTCAGGAATGTATTAAATGATTTCAACGCAGACTCAGCAAAGAAAACCCCTACATGGGGCAGTCTGTGAGATTTGGGTTCACACTTCTAAGAATACTTTTTCAATGGAGTCACATTGGGACAAGCTTAAGTTCTCCAGCAAATCATAACAATGTAAAACATTGCTTATCAGAGAAGCTCTGGACATAGAATTTTGAGGGTTTTGTTGATAATCAATTATGTTTGTACTTTTTACCTAGAACATGCTAGAATTCCAGATCTCTGGAATGAAATTAGTTGTTTGACACAAATTACTACTGTCTGCACAAACAATTCAGCCATAGTGAAACATTTTTATCTGTATATTCATTGTACATAATAATGGGTTTTGCAGACATTTTCTAACAGGTATATCATGTATTGTGGCAATATTCATGCAACACCCTTCTCTTTATTCCCCCTCCAACCCATGTTCATTACCTCACACAGTCTTACTTCTAGCTTTCATGCCCTATAGGCATATTTGTATTCATGTATCTGTATAAGAGCTAGGATCTACAAATGTGATAAAATAGACTTACACTGAGTCTGACTTATTTTGCATACTCATATGTTCCTCATTTGCATCCATTTTTCAGCAAACAAAATCTGATTCTCCCTCTGATGGCTATCGAAACTTCATTGGGTGTGGACATATATGTAAATAACAATTTTCTTCTCTCAGCTCTTGGTGGATACCCAACCAATAACGTGGTGATTGTGAATACTGCTATAATAAATATGGCTATGCTACATGTTGATTTAGAGTCCTTGAAATATATTCCCAGGGATGTCATGGCTGGATCCTATGAATAATCTAGTTCATTTTCATAGTGACTCAACTAATTTATATTCCTACTAGCAGTACATAAAGGTTGCATTTTCTCCACATCCTCATTAGCATTTAATGTTGTTTAGATAATAATAGCAATTCTGATCAGCTAAGGTGAAATCTTCGTTTCGTTTTAATTTTCATTTCCGTAATGGCTAAGGATGTTAAACATTTTTTCTTAATTATCTGCTCCTTGTAAAAAATTATCTTTTGAGATCTATTTGATGATTTTATTATGCCACTTTCTGCTTAGATTATAAGCCATTTTTAGCAGTTCTAGATGTTATCCCAAAATCTAGGTTACTAAGGTAAGTGCCAGACTTAAAAGTAAAACTTTTGAAGGGTAACATTTTCAAGCATGCTATGTTAATTAGGTTGTGCACATGCGACTTTCCATGGTTTTCTCTCATGTTTTCCTTTTATTATTAGGCAATTCCAGGAATACATCTGATGTGTTTCCATTAAATTCACTCCCACCCCTTCCCCAGCAGTCCCTCTCTTAGCCCTTCCACTATTCCCTCCCAATTTCTTGTGGTTTCACTTTAAACTCACCAAGTCTGCTTAGTGAGAACAGTAAGTGCATAGGTGTAGGACTGCTATTGGCACTTGTGTAGCCTCTTGGGCCACATCCCTGAAGAAAACTTATCTTTTTTTTTTTTTTTTACCAGCAGCCATCAGTTGTGTTTAGCTTCTCAACTAATGGTGGGACTCTGTGATCTGCTCTCCCATCCTGGCTGGGATTTCTTTTCTGGATTGATTTTGTACTGGTCCTGCATATGCTGTCAGTAGCCTGTCATATCTAGACAATTCTGTTTCGTAGTACTCATCTACCACCTTGGGTTCACACTCTTTCTGCTCATTCTTTGACAATGATCCTTGAGCCGTGAAGTGGGGGTGAGTGATACAGATGCGTCATTTAGAGCTGAGCCTCCATGGTCTCTTATTCTATTCACATTAACTAGTTGTGGTCTTTGTACTAATCACTATCTTCCAGAAAAGGAAGCCTCTCTGATGAAAGTTGAGAGCTGTACTGATCTATGATTATAAAGGAAAGTATTTAAGAAGAAGTTTAATACTGTGTCCATTTAGCAAATTAATAGTAGTAGATTTGCCCAGCTCTGGACTCTTGGCCCCCCCCCAAAGGTACCTGACATAAGCTCCATCTTGTCAAACAGTCTTAAAGCTAATAAAAACGTTATTGGCTACTCCCATGCGCTAGTGGCCATATTTTAAACAGGCCACTCAGTACTGTTGCTTGAAGGGCTCACAGCTGGGTAAAACTATTACTTATTTCAGTCCCTCCATAGCATGCATAGCACCTTCCTGCCAAGAAAGCTAGCCAGTAGGGACAAAGCTTCAAGCTCAAATCTAGCTCGATTTCCCCCATATTCTATGACTTGAGTATGTGCTATCTTCAGCAGTAAGGTCTTACCTTCAAGATCTGGAAGGGGTAACCAAAACAGTGACAATAGCTCGAAATTTTTGGGGATAGGAATGCATCTATCAGACTGTAATGGTAAACAAGTCAGAAAAGGGTAACTCATATCTGTTACTGGATTTTTTGTTTTGTAGCCCATGGTGTTTGAGAGAGGCATTGTCCTTCCCTCCTTGCCCCCATTATAGGGTACTAGAGTTAAACTTTTTTATATATGCATATAGTTTAGGATGCCTCTACAGTAGTAGGTTTCCATTTTTTTCCAAGTATGTTAGGGATTCTATTGCTGCAGTGAAACACAATGATCGAAAAGCAAGTTGGGAGGAAAATGTTTATTTGGCTTACATTTTCTTATTTTAGTCCTTCCCTGAAAAGAACTAGGACAGAATCTCAAGAAAGGGCAGGAACCTGGAGGCTGGAGCCAATGCAGAGGCCGTGGAGGGATGTTGCATACTGGTTTATCTTCATGGCTTGCTTAGCCTACTTTCTTGTAGAACCAATGACTACTGGCCCAGCAGTGGCACCACCACCCACAGTGGGTTGAGCCCTCCCCCATTAAGCTCTTCAGGATGGCCTGCAGCCCTAACTCATGGAAGCATTTTCTCAATCAAGGTTTCTTCCTCTCAGATAATTATAATTTGTGTCAAGTTGGCATTAATTTTGCCAACACAGCAAAGGTCTTTTGTGTTCCTTGCCCTCTGACTTCCCCCCTGTACTTGAACTCCTATCCCCAACCCTTGATCCATTGTTCCGTATCCTTCATACCTCCTACATTTTATCAATGTTCCCTTGGAAGCCTCCTCCCATGACCTCCACCTCCAAGTTTCTTGACTTCTCTCTGTACTCTAGTTGAAAGAAATGTATCTAAAATTTCAAAGCTATCACCCAGATATGAGACAGAACTGGTCAGGTGGCTTTTGTCCTTCTGTGTCTTGGCTCGCTCCCTCAGTCTAGATGATTATTTCAAGCTCTGTTCATTTACCTGTAATTTTATAATTTTATTTTTCTTTACAGGTGAATAATATTACATGTTTTCATTATGTATATGTTAGTTGATGGGCACCTAGGCTGTTTTCATTTCCTGGTCGGTGTAAATAGAGCAGCAGTGAATATGGATGAGCAAGGATCTCAGTATTAGGATATGGGTACTTAGGGATTCTATTGCTGCAGTGAAACACAATGACCAAAAAGCAAGTTGGGAGGAAAATGTTTATTTAGCTTACATTTCCTTATTTTAGTCCTTCCCTTAAGAGAGCTAGGACAGAATCTCAAGAAAGGGCAGGAACCTGGAGGCTGGAGCCAATGCAGAAGCCATGGAGGGGTGTTGCTTACTGGCTTATCCCCATGGCTTGCTTAGCTTGCTTTCTTGTTGAACCCTGGACTACCTTTGGGAGTATGCCCAAGAGTAGAATAGCTGAATGATATGTATTACTAGCTTTTTAAAGAACCTCCGAACTGATTTCCATAGTGGCTAAGCTAGTTTACACTGTTACCAATAGTTAAAAACATCATTTGTTGTTATGTGGTTTTTGTTCTTGTGGTTGTTGTTATTGGGGTTTTTGTTTGTTTGATTTTTATTATTTGACTGGGGTAAGATGAAATCTCAAAGTAGTTTTAAGTTGCATTTCCCTGATAGCCAAAGCTACTAAACATTTAAAAAAAAATTGTTTCTTAGCCATTTTTGTTTCTTTGGGGTGGAAGAATATATAAAATTCTATTACCCATTTCTTATTTAGTTTATTTTATTTGTATTGAAATTAATTTTTATGTAATATATTCTGATCATGGTTTCCCTTTTATCAGTTTCTCCCAGATTTTTCCCATCGATCATTTCCATGCCTTCATTTTCAGTCTTTAGAAAACAGACAAATTAAACAAACATAATTAAAAAGAGTAGCACAAGAAATGTACACACATACAACCAATTTAAAAAAATCAGAAACTATAATGTACAAGTAAGGGAAATGCCCAAAGAAAGCAATATGAGACAAAAAAGTTTTCAAAAATATCATTGAGTTTGTTTTCTGTTGACTATCTACTCCTAGGGCATAGGACCTACCCTTAAGTGTGTTTTATATACCCAGTGAGACTCCATTAGGGTAATTTTTTTTTTCCTTTGTAAGCTGTTGTCACTTAAAAATATCTTCTTGGTTAGGGATGAGAGATCATGTCTACCTCAGCCTCTCAGTGCTGGGACCCCATCTGGCTTGGACCTGTACAGTTTTTGTGCATGCTGTCACAGTCTTTGTTACTTCCTGTGTGCTACATTAGTTCTGCTGTGTCTGAAAGGCCATGTTTCCTTGGTATCTTTCATCCCCTCTGGCTCTTACATCTTTCAGCTTCCTC